CTGATCAACCCATTAATAATAAAATTACAAATTTTCTAAATTAGGCAAAAATAAACACATTGACAAGTCAATATTTTGGAATTTTTACCTCAAAAACTATCGAAGGCACAGGGATGAAAATTTGAGGCTCTATTCTTGAAAGTTTGAGGTAAAACATACTAAAAATTCAGGCTGATCAACCCATTAATAATAAAGTTACAAATTTTCTAAATTAGGCAAAAATAAACACATTGACAAGTCAATATTTTGGAATTTTTACCTCAAAAACTATCGAAGACACAGGGATGAAAATTTGAGGTTCTATTCTTGAAAGTTTGAGGTAAAACATACTAAAAATTCAGGCTGATCAACCCACCAATAATAAAGTTACGAATTTTCTAAATTAAGCAAAAATGAATACATTGACAAGCCTCTATTTTGGAATTTTTACCTCAAAAACTATCGAGGACTCAGAGATGAAATTTTGAGGCTCTATTTTTAAAGGTTTGAGGTAAAACATACTAAAAAATCAGGCTGATCAACCCATTAATAATAAAGTTATAAATTTTCTAAATTAGGCAAAAATAAACACATTGACAAGTCAATATTTTGGAATTTTTACCTCAAAAACTATCGAAGGCACAGGGATGAAAATTTGAGGCTCTATTCTTGAAAGTTTGAGGTAAAACATACTAAAAATTCAGGCTGATCAACCCATTAATAATAAAGTTACAAATTTTCTAAATTAGGCAAAAATAAACACATTGACAAGTCAATATTTTGGAATTTTTACCTCAAAAACTATCGAAGACACAGGGATGAAAATTTGAGGCTCTATTCTTGAAAGTTTGAGGTAAAACATACTAAAAATTCAGGCTGATCAACCCACCAATAATAAAGTTACGAATTTTCTAAATTAGGCAAAAATAAACACATTGACAAGTCAATATTTTGGAATTTTTACCTCAAAAACTATCGAAGGCACAGGGATGAAAATTTGAGGCTCTATTCTTGAAAGTTTGAGGTAAAACAGAATAAAAATTCAGGCTGATCAACCCACCAATAATAAAGTTACGAATTTTCTAAATTAAGCAAAAATTAATACATTGACAAGCCTCTATTTTGGAATTTTTACCTCAAAAACTATCGAGGACTCAGAGATGACATTTTGAGGCTCTATTTTTAAAGGTTTGAGGTAAAACATACTAAAAAATCAGGCTGAGCAACCCATTAATAATAAAGTTACGAATTTTCTAAATTAAGCAAAAATGAATACATTGACAAATCTGTATTTTGAAATGTTTACCTCAAAAACTATTGGGGGCATATAGATGAAACTTTGAGGCTCTATTCTTGAAGGTTTGAGGTAAAACATACTAAAAATTCAGGCTGATCAACCCACTAGTAATAAAGTTACGAATTTTCTTAATTAGGCAAAAATGAATACATTGACAAGCCTCTATTTTGGAACTTTTACCTCAAAAACTATCGAGGACTCAGGGATGAAATTTTGAGGCTCTATTTTTAAAGGTTTGAGGTAAAACATACTAAAAAATCAGGCTGATCAACCCATTAATAATAAAGTTACAAATTTTCTAAATTAGGCAAAAATAAACACATTGACAAGTCTCTATTTTGGAATTTTTACCTCAAAAACTATCGAGGGCGCAGGGATGAAAATTTGAGGCTCTATTCTTGAGGGTTTGAGGTAAAACATACTAAAAATTCAGGCTGATCAACCCACCAATAATAAAGTTACGAATTTTCTAATTTAAGCAAAAATGAATACATTGACAAGCCTCTATTTTGGAATTTTTACCTCAAAAACTATCGAGGACTCAGAGATGAAATTTTGAGGCTCTATTTTTGAAGGTTTGAGGTAAAACATACTAAAAATCCAGGCTGATCAACCCATTAATAATAAAGTTACGAATATTCTAAATTAGGCAAAAA